CCTGGCGCCGCACACGGTGGGTGGCCTGAGGCGGCCCACGGAGCAGCCGAAGCGGAGGCGGTCCTGCGGGGCGGCTCCGCCCGCCGCCCGGCCCCCTGTTCTGCAAGGTGTGAGTGACGCGGCGTGGGTCGCGGTGCCCAGCGGGCCCTGTCCTCTGGGCTCGACTGGCCCGGGACGCCCATCAGACCCAAAGCGGGGTTGTGGCCCTGTCGGCCCCGTTGCCCCCGGCTATTTTTAAAACAATTTGTATTGTTTCTTTTCCGGGTTAAGTGAAGGTGGCCCGTCCACCTATTTGTCAAGATTTGAATGCGGCGAGTGATGGAATATCACCTGCCACGACTTGTAATGGTTGAAAGAGACCCCCGCTGAGTTTGTGATAAGAAGGTAGGGACAGCCATCGACTGTTAGGCTCACAACTCCATGCCTGGCCAAGGTCTGATATGACTTGTGTCTCCCCTCTCTCAACACCCAACTGGGTTGCAACCAGCGGTGGATCATACCAGGGCAGCCAACAGAGGTCAATCCAGTCTTGCCCTTCACCCTTGGTAGAAGCTTGCTCACCATGACAGTCAGTAAAAGTGTAGGGTGGTTGTAACCCGTCAGTCTCTCCCTCAAGGCCTGCCAGGCTTTGCCCAACCTACTAAGCTTGTGGGCAAGGCTTTTTTGGGTGAGGATGAATACAGCCTGATGGTCTCCCCTCAAGATCTGCCTGGGTTGCCTGACTTACCAAGCCAGTGGGCAGGGGCTCTTGGACAATCGACATGGGTGTCGACGCCATATTAATTTGTTTCACCAAAACCTGCTATCAAGCAGTTGGTGAGGCTGCTCGATAGGGAGGAAGTAGCCATAATTCCCAGACTGAGGCAGAGGCCAGTTTGGTTATCCCGAGGGGCATCCAGCAGGACCACATGAAGGTATGGCCTCTGCAGCTGCACCCAGTTAGTGACTATGATCCCATCTTAAGAGAGTCATAGTTACTCCCGTAAATCAGTCTCAGAGGCTTGTTCTGTGTCACCACAAGTGTTCATGGCCTGACCTGCTCTAAGGAAAACCTCGTCATGTAGCAGGGGCTGTCTGAAACTGGTTTGGACTGTAAAGCACACAAGGATCATTTGCCATTAGGCGTAGCTCAAGTCTTACTACTTGCAAACTGCATGATGTATGTCAAAGCCATCCCTTCTGCAAGACTTGGTTTTGCTAATTGAACAACCTCCTGGCCTTCAGCATAGTGCTTACAAAAATAAACACAGAAATAGACCTTGTTTTATCCATCACCATGTGCCCAGTCACCTCAGATTTGTATAAAGAAATGCTTTCAGATGGGGTAATACTGAGACTTGATTCAACTTTTCCTAAAAGATGGTAGATTTCTATTTCAATCCAGTCTTACCAAGTGTGTCTACACTACGTATATAGCGATGTAGCATAAACCCAAATTAACTTAGTGACTACCATTAGCACCCAGCTGCAACATTGCACCCATAGCTTATAGCAGGCAAGATGAATAGTTTTGCTGGGCTGAATTCAGGAAGAAAAATACACCACACATCCATTCTCTACCATTTGTGTACTGTCCTCTTGTTGTATACAGGCAGAAAAAAAATATATTTTCCTGCAGTATTCCCCTTGCCTGCCTTTCCCTCCGGGGCACCGACCACGGAGGAGCGTTCCGCTGCTGCCCTCTCCTGGCGATGCTCAGGAGAAACCTGGGGTTTGTTATAACTGAAAAGGAAAAAAGTCTTTTCTGAACCGCTTGATGTACAGGCACTCAACTCGGTAGGTGAGTAACACCTGCTCCAGCAACAAAGCAATACAAGCAGCCTTGTTTGCGATACAGAGGACAAGTGATATTTCAGGGAAGAGTGATAAGGAGAAAAGTGGCCAGAAGAGGAGTGAGGTGTGAGAGAAAAGACTGCGCAAAAGTTTGTCTATATATGTAGGATTATACCATATATTTAGATGAGGGGCAGGAGTGGAATGTGATGAAGGGAAAAAGACAGGAGGCATTTTGCATGAGTGAAAAAAGTATGGAAGAAAGGGACAAAAACACTCTAGGGGAAACAGCTTAGGAAAGAGAAGGGGATGAGGAAGACAAACCACAACAAACTTTTCATCAGAGACTGTGCTAGCTCAAACAGAGATATTATAGCTTCTTCTCTCCCCACCAACATGTGAGTGCGTACACAGAAACTGCTTGTTTCTCTCCGTTTTCAAGTGGTCCTGCCCTCTGAGACCCTGGCAGGGGGGTCAGTATTTACTTGATGCAGTCAAAGGGATGGGGGGTGGGGGGATGTGTGTGAATGATTTTACTGGGAAGCAGGAGATCGTGACAGGGAGCAGACAGGAAGTGGCTGGTGGGGTCAGCACGGGAAAGAAGGGATGCTGTGGAGACTAGGTGGAAGTAACAACATGTGCCACAGGGCTAAAAAAAAGGATAGAAAGGAAAGAAGATAAAGGGGATGTAGGAAGCAGAGCTGGTAATATTTTTAAAATTTTGTTTCAGAAAAATAAAATGCATAAAAGGGGAAAGCTTTTATGTTCTGGAGTTTAGGTATATGTATTTGCTGAATGTGGTCACCCCTCCTTTGCTAGAAAGGGTGCACGTTACTGGAGCCGCACAGCCGCTGCGGCAGGAGAGTCAAAGCGAACCTTGTAGAGAGCGTGGAAGATCATCCCGCACTCCCCCTGCCACTGCTGAGACCACACAGCAGGATCTCAGGGGCCAAGAAAAAATGACCTATCCAAACAAAGTTTGCCAAGTTTTCCTCGCCTCCCTCTACCCCTCCAGCCTTGCAGCAAGTCCGCAGCCGTCCCTGTCTGCAGCCGGTGAGGGGTGCTGCTGCCCAACCCCAGCTGGCCTGCAGGATTTGGGCTGAGGAGTCTGGTGGTAATTCAGCGCTCCACAGGATTTACGGAAGCAAATAGTATTGGCTCTCTGCTACAGAGAACAGGATTTATTAGGCTGAGTAGTCTCTACAGTGGGCGGCATGCAGTGCTGTATAGACTGTCTTGTGCACTGCACTGAACGAAGGGGGCTTGTTTGGGTCCCCTCTTTCTTGGATGGATAGAGTGTAGTGAACTTGTACACTAATGGATAAGGTCTTTAACTCTTTCAGCTTGCTCTGAAAGGATGTGTTATCTGAAGTAAATCTCCGGGCTCTCTCACTTCCTCAGCTACATCTCAGAGAAAGAAGAAGGATTCTCTCTGTTGTGTGCAATATGTCCAGGGGCTCCCAGAATCCTTGCACAACAAAGTCAAGAAAGTATTGCTAGCCGCTAGTTCTCCTTTTCAACTCATGTGCTTATTTACACTAAAAAAAAAAAGGGTAAATAGACAACGGTAATATCTCACCACAGACTGAGCCAGTTTACTCCCTCCAGGGGCTGGCCAGTTCATGGGACAGTCTTAATTTCAGTGTGGTTTACATGCGATGGGCCTCAGGCTGAATCTGGGGGCAGTGTCTCCAGAGAAGGTTAGCCAAAAAGTGGGCAAGGTCTCCATCCTGGCTAGTGTATCATCATGCTCTGTCTGCCCTCTTCATACTGGTTTGCCCTGAACCAGCTCACTCTTTAGATAGCATGGTTGTTGGATGGGCTGGGCAAGGTTTCTCTTCAGACACACAGTCTAGCTACACGCTGGGCCAAGCTTCCTGTCTAGATCATGCAGTCTGTCCATGAACAGAAACCTTTCTTTGTCCAGATAACACTTGTGGGCTGTGTAGTCTCACCATGTGTAGCGCTTGATTTCTGAGCCAGGGCAGCTCTCTGCATCCAAATGACAGCCAGAGTGATTAAAGTCACTTGCCGCAGCGTTTGACAGGAGCGACTGACCTGAGTCAGCTCTGGCAAAATCTGAAGTACTCTGAAGTGCCAACGCTCAGCGCCACATGAGACCCACCATGCAAATTGTTTCTAAAAATGTTGGTTAGATATCCTCCTGAGGAGATACCAGCCCTGCTGAACACTGCTATTAGGAAATGGCACACAACACATGCCTTTGCTGAACACAGAAAGGTGTTGCGTGCTTATGCATAATGCATTTATTTGTTCTGATCCTCAAAGTTCCCAAATGAACATGGTTGGGAATTTAGCTTCTGACCCTTTCATCAGTGTATTTTTTAAACCATCGCTAAAATGAATATAGCACTGGCCTGGTATTGAGCTAAAAGTCCTTTTACCTTTTTAACAGCCACCACACAGGTAGTGGCAAGGAAAGCTTTCTCTGTGCATAACCTGTTAATGCCCAGAAATGTTGTTCCATTTTCAGTCAGGAAATCTTGCGGTTCAGTTGGAGCTTGGGCTGCATGCTGAGGAAGCTGTTGCAAAGGCTGGCTGTGACACAGCTTTCTAGGACATTAAGAGATGGGCAGTAGCACTGGCCTGAGAACAACATAATCGAAAATGTGGCTGTATCCAGCACAGATACCCGGAATTTTGTCAACACCCATGTTCTGACTGTAATTTCTTGTTTGTTTATATTAAGCCTTACTGTGTATTAAAACTAGTAACTGGTAGAGGAATTGTTAGCTGCTAGAAGCAAGCTGTCGGTGGCTGACACCAATAATATTTGTCCCATCACTATATTAATATAATGTGATGCAGCCATGCCTCTTAATACTCCAGCTCAGTTTGTTCTCTGAAGTCAGGCAGATGAGCAGTGAAAGAAGAGGTCTCCCAAGAAATTGAAGTGATGCAAGGGATGCCAGTAGCTCCCTGTACACCACCCACCAGCCCCAGGTGGCCTGGTATGCGTGAGGGTGGTCTACCTTAGTGTGATCTTGTTACTATGAGCAGAGCCACTCAGGCAAAGCATTGCAGGTGAAATGCTCCCTGTTACAGTACAGCATTTTCCTAACTTCACTTCCCTTAGGGAAAAATGCTTTTGCCTGGAGCCTGGGAGTTAAGAAGCCTGATTAATCTTAACCATGATGTTAGTGCTCAGGTGCAGGATGAGAGTCAGGAACATGTGAAATGATTCAATCTTTCAGTTAATCTTGATCACTTTTTATGTGGCTACCGCACAACGCACAGTCTCACACTCCCTGTTCGAAACAGCTTAGTGGGAATCACTTGTAACTGTGTCCTTTCGTTTAATTCAGGCATCTTTGGTAACAGGGCTTTCCCATGCACATCAGTTCCCAGGGTTGCACAGTGCCTGGCACGCCGGTCCGTGTGTATGCCCGGGCGCTGGCACGTGTGTGTGTGCGCATGTGTGTGTTTGTGCTCTCAGATGTGCTTCACTGCAGCTGCAGAATTAGAGCAAAAACTGTCGATGGTACAAAGCGTTCCAACTGACTTCATTTCCTGCTGATAACTCCCTGAAGAGGAGGGTGAGGCTTAGCGTCTGCAGCGTTAGTTCAGTGCTGAGGGGCGAGGGTAGGGTTGGCGGGAACGGATACTTCTGAACACCATTAGCAGAATGGTGGGTTCAGAAAGCGAGTTTCCCCATATAAAACGCTGTTCATGTTTGCTTCCTGTCAGCTTGCCCTTGTTGGAGAGGCTGATCTGCAAACCTCACCAAAAACAGGATGTTGGCTTTTAGAATTGATTGATCTTTGAAATACAAATGTTGTGTTTTTTTTTTTTTTCCCTGTGGTTACCTTATCCCCTTTTTTTTCAGTTGAGAATTGAGTTGCTTGAGTGGGAACAGGAAGGGCTGAGACCCCATTTTCAGGGGGTCAAAAGCCCAACATGGTAACAGCTGCTGGTTAATAGTATAAATTCTGGAAAATGATGTGGATAGCATCAGCCAAAACCAGAGAACAGACAGAACAATCTCAGATACTGGCACTGATAGGTGAGCTCTACTAAACCCTCAACAAATGCCTTAACAAAGCACACAGACTCAATCTATTTTGCAGGGACCCACAGCTCCCTCTACCCTTTGCTCATCCTGACACCACCCTGACAAACATACCTTCCCAGATTCGGCACCTACACAGACACACCCAAATGAGATAGCTGTGCGGACACAAATATCAGAGTTTCAGATGACCTCAAGAGCTTTCTTTCCTGAGCGGTCTCTGAACAGAGTTGCTATATCCCTGCATCTCCTTCCCCTTGATCTAGCACCCTGTGGCAGCCCCATTGTTCACACTTCATAGTCAAAATGCAAAAGGCCAGCAAATATTACACATGGTGTTTCTGAGCATGGCAGAACTAGTTATGCTACGTTTTTCTGCAGGCATGTCAGGATGAAGGATTTCCTTGTACCTCTTCTCCTGCACTTCTACTCCCTGTGTAGCAGGAGTACCAGTGATTTGGCCTGAAGCGAACTTGTTTTGGCCTCACATGTCTTGAAAAGTATCAGGGGCCCACAACTGCAACATTTTCTCACTCAAATGAAATTTCCCACTGGAGTCAGTTTTAATGGCACTTGTGATAACTGCATTTTTTTTCCTCCTGAGCAGAACAGAAGTAGAAACTTTTTTTTTGCATATATGAACAAGTTAATCTCCTAGACACTGCTATATCCCTGAAGGTCTGTAATCAGAGATACACAAGGTGCAAAGAGTCATACTCTGAAACATCTCACATTCATACTTGCACGTACACAACATGTAAACCACCCAGTTCCACAGTGTAACCCCCTCTTAATAACGTTTGTTACAAGGTACTTGCAGTTAAAGCATGTATGTTGGTTGTTTCAGATTTTCTGGTGGTTTTCAGTCCAGAAACAAGAAAGTCTAGAACAAGTCCACACCTCGTGTCTTCCTGTCTGGAGAAAAGCATACATTGTATATCTGTGTGTTCTCTCCTTGCTCCTCCAGGAAGAAAAATTTAGCATTAACAGTCCTGTACCCTGCTCAGAGCAATTGCATTTGGGAATCCTGCTGGCAGAAAAGATTTGCCTTGTGGCAAGATACTTGGGAGCAGAAATAGAGTGAAAAATTGTGGTGGGGCAGCTGCAACTACCTTTGCTTTATTAGTAAGGGTAAAGTGATACTGTGTCTGCCTAGCAGTTTCCTTTTATGTAGACCTAAGCAAACAATTTCCTCTGCAGAGTACAACGCCTGAAAGCAGAAAGAAAATACTGAAACAGACCCTGAGCAGCATGAAGCAACCACTGGAGCTATGTGATTTTGATGGTCTGTTACATGGCAGCCGTTCTGAAAATGACACTTGTGACCAATGCCCACAGTGAAATCCCTGACCATGAAATCCTCCTTCTGTCCCAAGAGCAGGCAAAGCATGGGCAGCCGAAGCACCCTGCCCACCCTGCCTCACCCTGCTTCCCCGTTCAGTTGCTATCCCCTCTCCTAGCATACCATTGTCAGGGCTTTAAGAAATCAGTAGGATTTCCAGTCGAGGAGTTTAATTTTTTCATTTCTTTTAGATTTTTAATCTATTTTCTTACATCTATAGTTGCAGTATCTTCTGGTTCCTTACAGCAGAGCGGTTTCAACTAATCCAGTGTTTCAGCAACAGAAGATTAATTTGACCTTTTGCCCTATCTCCAGATTGCAGCAACTCAGCCTATCATTCTTTTGGCTAAGGATCGAGTAAATGTTGTATATTGAATTTGGGAGATAATGAGATAATTGTTTAAATTTGCTAATTCCACAGGAGTCCTACAGCATGCAGTACAGCAACAGTTAACTATACTGTAAGAAAAACTATGTTGAGACAATTTATCGGTAACAATAATCTGGGATATCAGGACAGTCACATTTAAATCCATTCTAGAGTGTTTTCTGCCATAGCCAGCAGGGACTTGTGAAACGCTGCAATGGAAAAGTATGCATCTCTTTCAAAAAAGATGCTTTAACCCTCTTCTGCCCCCAAGGTATCATCCCAAAATGACGACATGACATTGTGTCACTTCGCAGCTGTAATGCAAGGCAAGGAAGCCAGCAGAAGACAAAGGGAGTGTTTCCAAATTCCTCTGCACCACCCTGCTCTCAAGAGGTGGGGACTGAAATTCTTGAGAAGGAGCATATGCAACAGTTGCTAAAAGAGATGTCTAGTTTACAACACTGCGATCAGAATGGAAAGGGAAACTGCACCAAAACATTCTTGAGGCTTATTTTTTCCCATCTGAATTTTTCTACCACCACGGAAGCTTCTTACTTCAGAGCACAAGTCTGTCCTTCCCTGTGAAGGGAGAGAAGAACATCCTCCACCTTCTGACCTAGTAGTGTGAGCCACAGATTCAGGGTGGGAAGAGCTAGTCCTGCTTTACAGCTAGACAGTGACACCTTGCATGGGGACCCTCTGCTTGTGCCCGCATTTGTGTAGTGCCCTTTGCAGTGTAGCCCTGATCTCTTGTTGGGGAATCACCTGGCAGTAGAGTAGTGCTGCTGGTATTATTGTCATCCCTGGAAGTCCCAGCCATACACCAGGACACTAAAGCCTTAAATTCTGTTCAGAGTAATAACCCTTGCTCTGCTCCTCTTCTGCCTCTCTAACCACTCTAAAGACACTCCACTGCTGACTGAAATGACCTAAAAGTGTGAAGGAAGGGAGAGGGGAAGCTGCAGTTAGAGGAAAAAAGATCCTCCTCACAAATAAGCAACAAGGAAGAGACCCTGCAGACTTGGGGAGGGAAGCACGGGACAGGGGAGAGATCCAGGCAGAGACACCGGGGGAGCAACTGCAAGCAATGGAGATAGTAGAGGCAAAGCGGGGTGTGTGTCTGGGGCGGGAGTTAAAGATAAGGTTATAGAAAATATGAAGGGGAGAAAGAAAGGAAGGAAGAAAATTGTACGTGTGGGGTCCCCAAGTTTGGGCACAGCAGCAGAGCTTGCTGCTTGTTGTCTCATGAGCCCAGCACTCTGGGAAGGACAGTATCTGTTTAGATTTGTGTCTAAATTTAAACCCTGATTGCCTTGCCTCCCCCTCCTCTCCCCTCCCTCCCTTCCTCTCACCCACCCGCCCTTCTTCCTTGTTCGTAGTGCCGGGCCACTCGCTGGGCTCTGTCAGTTTTCAAGCTGAGCAGGAGCTTGGATATTACATACCCTCCACAGCGGCGTGATTTTGCTCTGGCTCGGCTGAAGTTTTCCCACAGATAAGAGGGAAAGGGGTGGGGAAGAAAGATTGCCCCGAGGACACCTCTCTCTTGCAGGACATGGAGGTAAAGAAAACTTTTATTTCCACTAGCTTGTGACTGGCTCCTCGATCTGCATTAGCTCCACCTTGCAAAGCAATTTCTCACTAAAGGCAGCTCAAAATCTCTCTTTGCTGAGATTCAGAGAAATGTCTTTTTCCCCCCACCCCAGCTCCTGCCATGCACCTCAGAATATTTTGTAGGTTTTAGTCCAGATTTGGAAAGTCGGGGATGGTATGGGGGAAATTACATCTGTGAAAGGGGAATGAGGAAGGACTGCCATTTACTTTTTTAGTCTCTGAGGTGGGAGTCACATTTTAAAAGGGACTGTTTTGAAAGGAGATTTTAGAAATTCAGTAGAATTTGGGACATAAGGAGAAGTGAACAAACCGTACAGCTTTAGTGGGCTCCTTGGGGTTGATTCCTACTCAAACCCATGCAGCAGCAGCTGTGATTTGGGCCCTAAGCAGTTTCCCCCCCCTGTCCCACGTGGATTGGATGGTCTCACTTTCATTATCAGTAGAGCATTTTGGTTCAGGAAAGAGGACCCAAGAAGCATTGCTTCGGCGAGGTGAATGAGTAGCACACCCCCCCGGAGGGTTTCCTCTGTGCCCTTTTCCTCCATGCTGCATGTCCCATGCTTCAGGAGAGTCAGAGCACTTGTCTCTGTGGGCACAGCTGGTGGACAAGAGTCAGGCTTCCCTGGCATTTAAATCCAAGCCTTCTCCTGTGTAGCACCCTCTTGGGCAAGGCAGTTCGCCTCCCTTTGCTTCTTTTCCCATTCATATGAAATGGGAGTGATGGTGCATGCTTTGCTCAAATCCAGGCTCCTTGTCAGGCTGGATTATCTAGCTTTTCAAACAGTTGTTTAAGTGGGAAAGGAAAAAAAATTATTCTGAGGAGGGACACAGGAGGTAGAAAGGCGATTGCAACATTGGCAAACCCTCACATGACGAAAGAGGACTTTCGGTATTTCTCTCAGCTAAACACAGATCTTACTAAACACTTTATATTATTTTCCCAGCGAAGCCTTTTTCTGTGTCGGTGCAGCCCTAACAGCAGAGGACATGCAACAAAGCCAGGGAACAGTGTGCTTGAGGCACCACTACAATTTTCCTTTGAAGATTTCCAGCGCATAGCTCAGCTGGGCAGTTCTGATAACGCCCAGGTGCTAACACCGCAGTCCGTGTTATCTGTGCTGGCCTGCCCCACAGGCAAGGGTTAGAGATCAAGGCAAGTTCATTACAAGAAATGTCCTCAACAAACTATCTAAACAGATTTTGGTGTGGAGAAGGACCAGTGATCAGGCCAGCTCAGCACAGACGACATGTGGTGTGACAAATACATAGTTTTATACGGGTTTTTAGGTTTGACAGAGCCTGGATTAGTAACTGTTAATGCTTGTTTTTTTTTTTCTTTTTTGCTATATAGTATCCTGTGATGTCTCAGAGGGGAAAAGGACTTGTGCTCTTAATTTGTTGTAGCTGCTGTGTACAGTAATCCACATATGGAGCAAAGACTAACTTATTTGAAGCAGATATTTTGCCATGTTGAGGACACTCTCCCCCCCACCGCCCCTCCTCTCCACGCACAGAGGACTGCACTTCTCAAGTATTTTCTGTTGTCTGCTGCAGCGTGTTTCAGTGTAGGAAGGGACAGACCTGCCATTTCCTTTTGGGAGACACGTGTGACACATATAGCAGGTCTGACCGTCAGGAAGCTTCTGTGAAGTATTTAACCTATGAGTTCCCTGCTCTTGATTCTGTCCCTTTACCTCTATTTCCCACTCTTCCCATGTTATCTTGTTTTCTGATCATCTGTAGATTGCTGCATCCATTCTTATTTTTAAAACATTTCAACTCCCAAGACATTTTTTAAGTAGCACACTTGGTCTTCCCTTCCTGCCCCAACCCTCCAAAAAGGTGGGTAATGTCCCAAAGGTAAGAAGATACTAGACCAAAATAGAGTCAAGAGCAAAGACTTGAGTTACCACCTGCCAAGTCTCTGCTCTGTTTCTTCCCGAGAGCTTTTCACAGACAGCATGAGCAGGACCCAGAGACTTGCTACAGCTTTTTGCTTTGAAAAACAGATTTAATGGTCCTGTGCAACAGGAACGAGAAGTTCTGTCATTTCCCCATTTGCTTCATCACTGGCGAGCAGTGCTGCTCTGTGCTTTCCTGCTGGCATAACTGGCAAGCTCTTTGCTCTAGTGGTTCACATGAGGATTACGAGTATTAGAGAAAAAAAGTGCAGAGGGCTGACTAGCCAGCTGATTTCCATCACATCTCTGGTGGGAAGACCCTATTTTTGAAAGACCCACAAAAGCAAGATAGCTGGGATTGCTTTTTTAGAGTGGTTAGTGTGGTTTTGCTGCTCCTTAGGGGCTAGTACCTACAGTCTTAGCCGTTCTGTTGTCAGGAACATGCCACATTGAAAGCAGTGACTGCAATGATTTAAGATCCTGAAAAGGGAGAAAAAGGCAGCAAAACCCTATTCTTGCAGTTCATGTAATTTTGTGAGTCTGCTGAACTTCAGATGTGGAAGTTTTTTTGTGAAGACCAACATCTTGATGCAAGATAGTTTTGGGAATCAGTTTTCTTTCCAGTGTTACAACTGATGAAGGGAACTTGAAATGAAGAAGCTGGTATCATGACAGTTAACGTGAGGAGTTCATATCAAAAATGTGTAAAGCTGGCACTGATGAAAGCTAAGCCACTTGTAAAAAAGCAGCCACTAAACCTTCTTTGCACTCACGGTACAAAAAGCATCAGAAATTATTGTGATGCTTTGTTAGTTTAGATCTTCAGAGCCAATTGAAGCTTCCTAATTCCCATAGCTGTACCAAACCTTGCTGCAGATGTTGTGAGTTAAGACATCCGCTGAAAGTGTTTGTGGCTTTCTGCAGCCTGTATTCAACAGCAGCCATGGCACTCCTCTTCCCAGCCTCTGTAGCAGTTTGGGAGCATGGAGGCATTTGAACTTTGCTTGCACAGCAAGGGGAAGCAATCCAAGACTGTTTCACTTTGTTTTCTCCCTATGGTGTGATGGGTTCCATAAGCTGGGAAGGTGCAGCAACCAGGTTTATTTAGGGAAGGTTCCCCTCTTCTTTGTGCCTACCAACAGATTTCTTTTCTTTTTGTGACATCTCCATTCCCATGTCTCTTTTCTGCAACTAGCTCCTGCTAGATCTTCATTTTGCCTGTTGCTACACTGGCTCAGGAGAAGGAAAGCTTTTCCAAGGCTGAGAGCAGTTTCTCTGCTCACTTCACCACTTCCCTTCTGAGCAACCTACTGGACACAGCTCCAGCCCCAGGCTGTGCTCTCCCTACAGCACTGTGTCATCTGGAACATCTGGGGAGTGATGGGGCTACTGCTCTTTTCAGTAAAGTTCCCTCCTGTGTCAAGGTGAGAATACCACAGAGAGGCCCCCGAGTCCTGCCTCACTCCTCTAGCGAGCAGCATGGAGAAAATTCCTCAGAGTACTCCTTTCCCTGTCTCAGCAGGAGGCTGCAGAAACCTCCTGGGGTTCAATCATATTCCCTCCCTCAACAGGCGAGGTCAGAATAATTTCTTCCTTTGTGCTGTGGTCAGCCAGACATCAAAACTGAGCTCATTTCCAGGCTTAGTATCCCTGTGGCTGCATCCTTCCACGAGCCACAAGGAATGATGCCCTTGCCCAAACTACAGGGCAGCTTTCTTTCAGCATAGGCATGTAGCCTGTCCCTAGGAAAACTGCATTAAGGCTATGTGACCTGTCACCCAAGAGGACTAAAGTGGAGGGGATGGAGGAAAGGGTACTTGGTACTGTGCAGACAAGGGGGCTGATACCTGTAATCATTATGGTCCTCAGAGCAGTGGGACAGTAAGCCATGCAGAGGTGAGCTGGGCTCAGTGAAGTCTCTGCCCACCCTTCCAGCTGTGAAGCCAAGATTAAGTACAGGCATTATGCCATGGTTAGCTCTGCCAGGAAACAATTTGCCTTTCTCAGGAAGCTCTGCTGCTTGGTTTTCATTCCAAAAGTTAAAGCATTTCTTTTCCATTCTTCTTTTTTTCTTTTTGCTTAACAGAACATTCAAATACACTTGTGTTCAGTGTTTCCTCCCAAACTCATCAAAATGATGCATTCACACAGAGTGTCTGTGTAGATAAAGGGAAAAGTATTCAAGTATACTAGGAGAGGTACCATATGACCCCATTTTCCACCTCGTGTCTGGGCAGATTTAGGACCTGCCTGACAGTAAATAGCATGCCTGCAGCAGAGGATCCTGGAAAGGATCAGGTTTGCAAGACTTCCACATCCCAGTGACAGGATGAGGCCTCCCTCTTGGAGGACAGAAAGGAACAAAACCCCATGGGCTTGCTGTGACCCTTTCTTGTACCTAGCAGAGACCCCAGAGTAAATGGTTTGCAGAATTAAAGCTTGTCCTGTGTCACTGTAGAGGGATGATTCTTCTGAACCCCTCCTCTCCCTCTCTCCCCATTTTAACCTTTGGTTGTCTGAGTATCCCAGATCATTGTGCTAGCATTTTGGAAAAGCCTTTTTTCGTGTAATCCACAATCTAATTGGCAGGACGCGTTACTGTTGAGCAGCATATTATGCATACCTTCTCATATATTCCCAGGATTTGCTTATCTGAAGAACAGGGGAAAACATCTGCATTGCTTTATCAATAGGTGCTTCTAGGAAACTGCTGGGTTTTGTCATGGAAATGACCAAGCCCATACAAACTAGGGGTGGTTTTCCTGTCTGTTTCCACGTGGCTGGTTAACAGTTGTAAAGAGGTGGATGGTCCTTTTCCTAAAACACTAACTCTACAGCCTGAATTTGGGATCTGAGATGGCAGCTGTATGCAGCAGCAAGAGAACCTGTTTGGAGGACCTCTCTATTTTACTGATGAAGCCTATTTGCTACCTGTAGGTGCTATAATACCACAGAGACACAGCTTGTCTTGGTGACTTACAGACAATTATATGCCTTCAGCAGTTTGCAACACGGCATGCATAAGGATGAATTTGGTCTAGAGACG